CTGCATCTTGCTAGTCGGGAACTGCTGTGAGTGAACTAACACTCTCCTAAGTGTGGGAATTGTTTCTTTGAATTGTTAATATGGCTCACTCCCATAGTAAGCCCACCCCTTTAGAAACCATGCTGAAAAATTTCAAGAAGGAATTTAGTGGGAATTATAAAGTAACTATGACACCAGAGAAATTAAGGGTTTTATGTAGGGAAGATTGGCCAGCATTTAGGGTAGGTTGGCCCCCAGAGGGGACCCTAGACAGGTCCCTTGTCTCCAAAGTAAGGCATGAGGTTATATACGGCAAGCTAGAGCACCTTGATCAATTTCCATACATAGCCTCCAAAGTGGCTAAGAGAACAGGCAGTGACTGCTTTAGTAGCCAAGGGATAGACTGCTAGAAACCATCATCCCCCTCACCACCGAGAAATGCGAACTCCCAAGTCCAGGCAAATTCAGTGGCAGAAACAGGCAGGATTTGCATGTATGAATACTTTAGTTATTGGAAGTAGCTAACCAGGCGGTTGTAAACCAAGAGGCGGTAAGCCGGAGGGAAAATCATAGGGAAAGGGAACATCAGGCTCAATGGAAGGCTGACTTGATAGCTGCTGCTATGAGAGGAACGCCCCCAAGAGTGTGGAAAAAGGCGGATTCCTGGAAAGCCCCACAGTCTGCCCACCTGCACCTGCAACGCGATCAGTGTGCATTTTGTCAAGAAGTACGACATTGGAAAAAAATGCCCACAGTTAATGGGAGAACAGGGCGATCCTAAGCACGAGGATCCAGATAAAAAGTGAAGGGACTCTGTTCAATCTAATGGAAGGGCCACTGGACTAAAAGAGAGGGGGGCTGGACTCATATGCCACCAAAGAGCCCACAGTCCGGACGACAGCCCTGTAACCCCCCATGGAAAAAACAGAACCAATATTTTTAGAGCTATTAAGGTGTTAAGAGAAGACTTTCTTGCACTTAATGGACTACCACTGCCCCACTTCTCCGGCAAAACCTGTTGTGTTAATCAAGGGCCATTATCCCATTCAAAAAGGAGACTCCCTGCAGCTAAAAATGCCTTAAGCAGGGGTCCTCCAGGCTCTCATTGTCTCTTGGGAAGGAGGGTGGAGCCTTCCTAGCCAGAAGCAGAAGACTGATATTATCACCCAGGCCCGGACAAGGCTTGCGCGGCTTTGCACCCAACTCATACACGCAGTTGGGATTATTGCCAGCAGAGGATGGTTGGTTCACTTAATTGGACTTAAAGAATACCTCCTTAGCACTGGACTGGCCTCAGAGGGTCAAAAAAAACTATTTGCTTTTCAATGGCAGAAACCCAGAAGCAGGTGTAACCACTCAATACACCTGGACCCAACTTCCCAGGGGCTCAAAAACTCTCTCATCTTCCTTGGGGAGGCATCAGCCCGTGACCACCCCCCAGAAGCTTCTTGCTTGCAACTGCCCCCATATGCTGATAACCTTCTATTAGGACACCCCACGGCAGTCGGGTGCACAAACAAATGCCTTACTTCAGCACCTGGAGGACTGTGGGTATAAAGTGTCTAAAAGGAAAGCCCAGATTTGCCAAAAAGCAAATGCAGTATCTGAGGCTCACCATCTGGAAGGGGGACGCAGCCTAGAAGCAGAGAGGAAGCAAGCCGCTTGCAGAGTGACAGAACCTGAGACTAAAAGGCAGGTGAGAGAGCTCCTGGGAGCGGTGGGTTTTGTAAATTGTGGATTTCCAAACTTTGCAGTACTAGCCAAACCCCTCTATGATGTGACAAAGCGGGGAGACAAGGACCCCTTTGAATGGGGATTCCAGCAGCGCCAGGCCTATCAGGAACTGAAAACAAAACTAATGTCAGCTCCAGCTTTGGGGCTGCCTGATTTAACAAAGCCCTTCACATTATATGTGGCAGAAGGAGAAAAAGTGGCAGTTGGGGTCCTAGTCCAAACAGTAGGACCTTGGCCCAGGCCTGTAGCTTACCTCTCCAAGCAGCTGGATGGAGTTTCCAAAGGATGGCCCCCATGCTTAAGGGCACTGGCAGCAACTGCTCTGCTGGCACAAGAAGCAGATAAGCTAACTCTGGGACAGAACCTAAATATCAAGGCACCTCAGGCAGTAGTGACTCTAATGATTACCAGAGGGCACTACTGGTTATCAGGTGTTAGGCCGACCAAATACCAGTGTCTGCTATGTGAAAATCCCCGCATCACCATTGAAGTCTGCAACACCTTAAACTCCGCCACTTTGCTCCCAATGTCAGAGGGTCCCGTTGAACACAACTGTGTTGAAGTCCTGGACACAGTCTATTCCAGCAGTCCTGATCTTTGGGATCAGCCATGGACAGTAGCAGACTGGGAGTTGTATGTGGATGGGAGCAGCTTTGTCAATCCACGAGGGGAAAGATGTGCAGGCTATGCAGTGGTAACTCTGGACACTGTAATGGAGGCCAAATCCCTGCCTCAGGGCACCTCAGCTCAGAAGGCTGAACTCATTGCTTTAGCTAAAGCCCTATAGCTAAGTAAAGATAAGGTTGTAAACATTTACACTGACTTTTGATATGCCTTCCTGACTCTCCAAGTACATGGAGCACCATACAAAGAGAGAGGACTGTTAACTTCACGGGGAAAAGGAATAAACTTTCAGCATGAAATTTTGCAGCTGCTAGAAGCAGTCTGGAAGCCCTGGAGGGTGGTGGTCGTGCATTGCAGAGGACATCAGTGGGCCCACACCTCCATAGCCCTGGGAAATTCCAGAGCAGATTCAGCAGCTCGTAAGGCAGCATCTGCTCCCTACCAAATAGCAGTTACAGCCCCGCTGATTCCCCAGATCCCTGATCTACCTACTTACTCTAAGGAGGAAAGAGACTTTCTCCAGACAGAAGGGGGCAACTGACTAAAGAAGGGTGGGTCCAACTGCCAGATGGAAGAATATCAGTACTACAGCTGCTAGGGGCAGCAGTTGTACACGCCGTACATGAGACTACTCATTTAGGTCAAGAGTCGCTTGAAAAGGTATTGGGCTGGTACTTTTACATCTCACACTTAGCAGCCTTGACCAAAACTGTGGCACAGCGATGCATTACATGTCAGCAACACAACACGAGGCAGGTTCCAACTATTACCCCTGGAATTCAAGCTTATGGAGCAGCTCCATTTGAAGATCTCCAAGTAGACTTTATTGAAATGCCCAAGTGAGGAAGACATAAGTATTTTGTGGGTCCTGGTGTGCACATACTCTGGGTGGGACTGAAAGAGCCCATGAAGTAACCTGTGTGCTGCTTTGAGATCTTATCCCTAGATTTGGACTACCTCTGCACATCAGAGCAGACAGTGGACCACCATTTGGGGCAGATTTAGTCCGGAAAACAGCAACCGCCTTGGGTATCACCTGGAAGCTGCACATTGCCTACCGACCTCAGAGTTCCAGAAAAGTGGAAAAAAATGAACTGGAGCATCAAAAACAGCTTAGGGAAAGTGTTCAGGAAATAAGATTAGAGTGGGTGCAGGCACTTCCCTTGGGGTCATTCAAAATTAGAGGCACTCCCGTGAGGAAAAACAGGATATTCCCCTATTAAGCCTTATACCATAGGCCCCCTCCCCTACTCTGGGCACTCCTAGGAATTCCTTGGGAGTGGGGAGAGATTCAGTTAGGATGCTAGTTACCAGCTCTAAGGAGAATCCCTTAGGATACTTCAACTTAAGTAAATAACAAATGTCCTATAAGGCTTTTTCTCCCCAGTTCACCCTTTCTCACTAGGTAATCACATGTGGATAAAGGACAGGAGTACAGCCCCTCTAAAGCCACAATGGAAAGGACCTCAGACCTGATCCTGACCAATCCCACAGCTGTGAAGGTAGAGGGAATCCCAGCCTGAATCCACCACAGCCGTGTAAAAACCAGTAACAGCTGAGACTTAGACCAAGGCAAGGACTGCAGAAACACCTTAAAAAGGACAACAAGCCCTGCTCCAGCCCAGAAGCTGGCTGGTCCACGCACGGCCAAAGCATAAGGAGATTCATTGTGGGACTTGTTCTTCTTAATATTTGGACTTGCACAGTAGGAACATTAACTAATTTCGAAGAATGCCCTCAGTATGTACACCAGGTAGGGTGTAAAAGTTACTGCCATTATTTTGTCCTTCAGTTCTTATAAATGTATGGGGACACAGAAGGGAACCTGTTTATATAATGGTACTCAATATAAGGTGTGTAATCCATGAGATGGACAGGTAGCTGTGTCAGAGGCATCATTAATCCTTCTTTCTTCCTATTATCTGTTAAGATAGGTGAGCTGTTAGGGCATTCAGTTTACTTTGCTAGGGAGAAGAAAGACCTAAAACTAGGGAATTGGACAGGTGATGAGTGGCCACCGGGGAGAATTATTGAATACTATGGGCTGGTCACATGGGCTGAGGATGGCTCATGGGGATACCAGACCCCTATCTACATGCTCAACCAGATCATCCGGTTGCAGGCTGTTTTGGAAATACTAATGAAACAGGCAAAGCTCTGTCCCTCTTGGCCCGACAAGAAACTCAAATGAGAAATGTGAGTTATCAGAACCAACTGGCCCTAGATTATTTGCTAGCAGCTAAAGGAGGAGTCTGGGGAAAATTCATTCTAACCAACTGCTGTCTGCACATAGATGACCAGGGGCAAGCCGTAGAGGATATTGTGCAAGACATGACCAAACTGGCACACGTGCCTGTACAGGTGTGGCACAGATTTAACCCTGAGTCCTTATTTGGAGGTTGGTTCTCTTCCTTGGGAGGATTCAAAACCCTCATCATAAGTGTTCTAATAATAATAGGTGTTTGTTTACTGCTCCCTTGTCTACTGCCCCTGTTCCTTCAGATGATGAGTGGATTCATCACTACTGTAGTTAGCCAAAAAGTGACATCACAAGTGTATTATATGAAACATTATCAGCCTGTTTCTTCAGAAAATCTGGAAAGTGAGAATGAAAGTGAGACCTCACTAATATTATAAAGTGGTGAGGGTCTCAAAGGGGGAGATGAAGAGGGAGACCCAAGCATCTCAGATCAACTTCCCCTTTTCATTCCTAAGACTGTAAACTTCCCCTTTTCATTCCTAAGACTGTAAACCGAAGCCCTTTTCATATGTTAATTCTTAAGACTGTAAACTGAAACCCTTTTGATATGTAATTCCTAAGACTGTAAACCGAAACCCTTTTCATATGTAATTCCTAAGACTGTAAACAGAGACCCTTTTCATATGTTAAGCTATAAACCTAAGATTCTTCCACGTGTAACATCTAAAGAATAAGCCTATATAAAGAAGGAACCTTCCTTTGTTAGGTGAGCTTGCATATTAGGCAAATACGCCACCTGGCTCCTGGCCGAATAAACTCCTTCCTCCAATATTCGGTGTCCAAGAGATCTGTTTCCCACGGCCGCTCCTGCAACAATACAGCAGAAGTGGTGCTAAGAGGAAAGTTCATAGCATTAAATACCTACATCAAAAAGTCTTAAAGAGCACAAATAGATAATGTCACACCTCAAGGAACTGGAGAAACAAGAACAAACCCAACCCAAACCCAACAGAAGAAAAGAAACAGCAAAGGTCACAGCAGAAGGAAATGAAATTGCAACAAACAAGCAAAAAAATACAAAAAGATAATTGAAACAAAAGCAGGTTCTTTGAAAAGATAAACAAAATTGACAGACCATTAGTGAGATTAACCAAGAAAAGAAAAGTGAAGATCCAAATAAACTCAATTAGAAACAAAATGGGAGATATAACAACAATAACACAGAAAAACAAAGATCATTCAAAGCTATGAACACCTTTATATACACAAACTAGAATATCTAGAGGAGATGAATAAATTCCTGGAAATATACAACCCTCAAAGAAACAGAAACTCTGAACAGACCAATAACAAGTAACAAGATTGAAGCAGTAATTTAAAAATTGCCAACAACAACAACCAAAAATTCCAGGACAAGATGAATTCACAGCTGAATTCTATCAGGCATTCAAAGAATTGGTACCAATCTTACTGAAATTATTCCAAAAGATAGAGAAAGAGGGAATCCTCCCTAACTCATTCTATGAAGCCAGTATCACCCTAATTTCAAAACCAGGAAAGGACATAACTAAAAAAGAAAACTACAGGCCAATACTCTTGGTGAACATAGATGCAAAAATCCTCAACAAAATACTAGCTAACCAAATGAAACTCTGTATCAAAAAGATAATACACCATGATCAAGTAGCTTTCACACCAGACATGCAGGGATGGTTTAACATATGCAAGTCAATAAATGTGATGCATCACATAAACAGAATTAAAAACAAAAATCATATGATCATCTGAATAGATGGAGAAAAAGCATTTGACAAAAATCTAGTATCCCTTTATGATTAAAACCTTCAGCAAAATTAACATAGAAGGGATATACTATCTATGACAAACAACAACCAATATGATACTGAACAGGGAAAAGTTGAAAGCATTCCCTGTGAGAACTGGAACAAGACAAAGGTGCCCACTTTCACCCCTGTTATTCAACATTGTACTGAAAGTTCTAGCAGAGAAATCCAACAAGAGAAAGAAATAAAAGGCATCCAAATCAGTAAAGAGGAAGTCAAACTGTCACTGTTTGTTAATGATATGATTGTATACCTAGAAAACCCTAAAGACTCATATAAACTGATAAATGAATTTAGCAAAGTCTCATGATACAAAATACATGTACACAAGTCAGTAACACTGTTTAAAATGACCAAGCTGAGAGTCAAATCAAGAACTCTACCCCTTTTACAGGTGCAAAAAACAAAATAGAAATATACATAATCAAGGACGTGAAAGATCTTTACAAGGAAAACTACAAAACTGCTGGAAGAGGTCACAAATGACACAGACAAATGGAAACACATCCCATGCTCATGGGACGGATAGAATCAATATTGTGGAAATGACCATACTGACAAAAGTAATCTACAAATTCAATGTAAGTGCCATAAAAATACCATCATCAGAACTAGAAAAAACAAACTTAAATTCATATAGAACCAAAAAAGAGCCCACATAACCACAGTAAGACTAAGCAAAAAGAACAAATCTGGAGGCATCACATTACTTGACTTATACTACAAGGCTATAGTAACTAAAACAGCATGGTACTGGTATAAAAATAGGGACATAGACCTATGGAACAGAATAGAGAACACAGAAATAAAGCCAAATATTTACAGCCAACTGATCTTTAACAAAGCAAACAAAAACATAAAGTGGGGAAAGGAACCCTATTCAACAAATGGTGCTGGAGTAATTGGCAAGCCACATGTAGAAGAATGAAGCTGGATTCTCATCTCTCACTTTACACAAAAATTAATGCAAGACAGATCAAACACTTAAATCTAAGATCTGAAACCATAAAAATTATGGAAGATAACATGGGAAAAACTCTTCTAGACATTGGCTTAGGCAAAGAGCTCATGACCAAGAACTCAAAAGCAAATGCAACAAAAACAAAGATAAATAGATGGGACCTAATTAAACTAAAAAGCTTCTTTATGGCAAAAGAAATAATCAGTAAATGGATAACCCACAGAGTGGGAGAAAATATTCACAAACTATGCATATGACAAAGGACTAATATTCAGAATCTACAAGGAAGTCAAACAAATTAACAAGAAAAAACAAATAATCCATCAAAAAGTGAGCAAAGAGCATGAATAGAAATTCTCAAAAGAAGATATACAAATGGCCAACAAACATATGAGAAAATGGGAGGCCAGGCATGGTAGCTCACACCTATAATCCCAGCACTTTGGGGGCTGAGGCAGAAGGATCACCTGAGGTCAGGAGTTCAAGAACAGACTGACCAACATGATGAAACCCCACATCTACTAATAATACAAAAATTACCCGGGCGTGGTGGTGTGCACCTGTAATTCCAGCTACTCAGGAGGGTGAGGCAGGAGAATTGCTTGAACAGGAGATGGAGATTGCAGTGAGCACATATTGCACCACTGCACTCCAGCCTGGAAAAAAAAGTGAGACTCCGTCTAAAAAAAAAGAAAAAGAAAAAATGCTCAATATCACTAATTATCAAGAAAATGCAAATCAAAACAACAATGAGATACCACCTTACTCTGGCAAGAATGGTCATAATTTAAAAATAAAAAAATAACAGATATTAGCTTGGATGTGATGAAAAGAGAAATTTTACACTGCTGGTGGGAATGTAATCTAGTACAACCACTATGGAAAACAGTATGGAGATTCCTTAAAAAACTAAAAGTAAAACTACCATTTGATCCAGCAACGCCACAACTGGGTACCTACCCAGAATAAAAGAAGTATTATATGAAAAAGACACTTGCATACACGTGTTTATAGCAGCACAATTCACAATTGAAAAAATATGAACCAGCCTAAATGTCTATCAACCAACAAGTGGATAAAAAAAATGTGATATATATATGTGTGTATATATATATATACACACATATATATATGAATACTACTCAGCCATATACCACATTTTATATATATGGCATATGTAATACATATACATTTATATATATATATGGAACACTAATCAGCCATAAAAAGAAATGAAATAATGGCATTTTCAGTAACCTGGATGGAGTTGGAGACCATTATACTAAGTGAACTCAGGAATAGAAAAACAAACATCATATGTTTTTACTTATAAGTCAGAGCTAAGCTATGAGGACATAAAGGCATAAGAATCATATAAAAGACTTTGGGGACTAGGAGGAAGGGTAGGAGTGGGGGAAGGAACAAAAGACTACACACATTGGGTACAGCACACATTTCTCAGGTGACAAGTTTACCAGAATCTCAGAAATCACCACTAAAAAATTTTTCCATGCAACCGAACACCACCTGTTCCCAAAAACTTTTGAAATAAAATTTTAAAGTAATTTTTTCAAAAAAAAAATTGGATTTGTCTATAAGGTTTTATTAAGAACTAGGTTTGACAGCAATAGTACATTAAAGCAAAGGTGAATTTTGGCTTTTTCTGTTGAATAAGATTTTTTGTAATATGAGAAAAATAATGAAAGATTTTTGTTTCCCCTTTGAATAAACTACAGGAAAAAAGAGTGGAAAGAAAAGAGACAGACTGTTTGGAAAGCTCAGTCTTCCTTCTATCAATGAGTAAATGTTTTTGACTTTTTAAAATCTTTGAGTTATCATTTTGGCAAAATAAGTGACATGGTGACCAGGGATTCTGTTTTATAAGATCAAGTGTTTTTGAACCTTTGATTTTTGACAAACTTTGCCAAATCAAATTATAAATTACATCTTTTTCTGACCTATTTGATTTTTTAGATATTAAGAGCCCTAAAGTCCAAAGATGACATATTTGGTTTATTTGGTATATTAAAATCATATAGAAACCCTTGTTGGGTACGAAATGGTGTTTAGTTTCTTTGGGCTGTATTTGTATAGATGTGTTACTGGTATGTGTTCCAAACTTATGGGAAGCTCCTATAATTCTGATATGACTTAGTGTATATTGTCAGAAATAATTATGTTAGCTTTGTTAATTATTGTGTGCCACAGAAGTAACCAAATTTCCTTGTCACTTGTGTCTTTGAGTATGGCTATCCTAAGTCTTTCTTTCATCCACAGATAATTTTTGTTTTGTTTTGAATCCTTTTTAAAAGGTGATTTATTATCAGCTATAGGACTCTGACAAGTGCCTTTGAATGTAGATCTCTGATGACTTTGGAAAGTGTGCCATTAAAACAGAGAGGAAATAACTTCCAAGACTCTCTTGGAAAACTACTGTGTTCATTAATGTCAAGCAGAACAGGAATTAATTGCATAGACTGAACTAGTAAAAGATTTAAATAGTTTTTTCATGACTTTCTGCTTGAAATATTGCTGATCCTTTCTGTTTTGTTTTTCAGAGTCAAGAAAACTTTTTTGGGGGGATATTTATAGCTTTTGGCAATTGAGTGGAGTATACTCTTGTGAGTAAAATTTGGAGCATATCTTCTTTTACCTGATTTATCCAAAATTTGAAAACTATTTGTGAGTATTCTTATGACAACATAGTTATTTGTGTAAGTGCAGTAAGAATCTGTTTTCTTTGTAACAGGACACAATTGGAGAAACTGGTTATTTTATGAGGACTTTGACTGGAGTGGTATTCTTTTAAATATAAACACACTGCATTAAGGAATCAAAGTTGACTTATAGAGCCAATAAAAGCCCCTAGGGAAAGCTAGCTTCATTC